TCACCCATCACGATCATCGGCTACGATACGCAGTGTGTTAATCACGGGGCACCGCCGAGTCTCTCCGTCAAAATTGCTCGAAACGAGAGATTAGCGGCTAAAACGCTTATCTGTAATATAATGTACGATGGTAGCTTCCGCTGCGCAAAGTGCCGATGACTATCACGGCAATCGTTAGCGATAACGATAATGACAAGTTACAAGAATAAATTATAATGTCGTTAATACGATAATGTGTCGACGATGACATCACTTCGAATTGCTCTCCTAGAAGAAACGCGCGCTCGTCATCTCGCATCGGGTGAAGCCGAGGTCCGCGTTAGTCTTTTCTTTATACAAGCTATATGCCGCGTATATCTATACGTCATGTATTATAATAACAATAATAAATAATGTAATTCATAATTCATAATGGTATAATGGATAAGAAAATCAGCGATAATGCAATGGAGACAATTCGACGATAGTGGTGAACTAACTGCTGCGGTTTTCCTCGATGTCGTCGTCGGCGACGTCGCTGTCGTACAATTCGAAATCATACGTATCTACCTACGAAGTCAAAAGGGCTGTTATAAATAGAGCGTAAGAGAGGGCGGTGGTCGCGACGAACGTATATGCAATTTATGTTACGTGATTACGCGTGTATCTCTGTGTATACGGTCACTTGGTGCGGGGCACACGTTTCTGTCCTATAATAATCTACCGATACAATTTCGGTATGTCCGTGGGGCATTTAACCCGCGAAGCGCTGAGGCCATATTATTTGGAGTAAGAGGTTCTATTATCAGAGGTTATAAACTTAAATAAACAATAAAGTGCACAGCAGAAAAAGGATTTGTTCTCCTCTTTATCGAAGCGATATACATACATATACGAGTGTCTCTCATTTTAATTAATTTGCCACTTTGTGAAAAATCGCGCATGCGCGATACATCAAGTAAAAAAAAAAAAAAAAATTATACGCGACAATTTTCTTCAACGGAAAATTGAGCGTTCGATCGGATTAAGCCTTCGGATCGATTAAGCGCCCCACCGCATCCGATTGAGCTACGTGTTCCCGAAGAAACTGTCGGACGTTCGTCGTTGTATTTACATCGTCGAGCGATACAACGGAGCACTGTACAATTCGTGATGCTTGCGGTGTGCGCAGATTACGCGAGATTCAAGCGAAATGACGACGGCACGCGATATCTAGAGATATCTTTTCGAAAAATTCCAAGTCCGCTCAAGTTGAAATTGATTTTGTCGCGAGTTTAAATGCCTGATAACTTCTGATAAGTTTTCCTGAGCATTCATCGACGTCGAGAATTCTATTCGCGTGACATGGAAATCTCTCTCTCGACCAAGATCCTTTTTCTTTTATCCTAATATAACGAAAGTTATCAAACAATCTGAGAAATTTGAATAGGTCCAGAATTATATCCAGAGTACGTTCGGATACCTGAAACTTCTAGAGTTATTCGAAATTATGACCAATTGACATCCGAATCGTAGAGAAAAAAAATTCGGATGCGGATCTAATTTACACCCGCGCAATCTGCACACCCCGTTATCAATTAATCGATTCCTACGATTAGAAAACCTGGTATTAGAAAACCTGGACTTCCGCCCTTGATCCTAAAAGTGAACAACAGCGGAACCAACGGAAAACGCTTCGGAAAGGCAACGAGAGCCCCGGTCGATCAGGATCGCCAGATTTTTTTTTCCCTTTATATCGCGATCGATCTTTTCTGGACAACATTTGCAACGGAGACGCGAAGCAAATCTCGAGATTTTTACACCGAGTCACAAATTGGCACGGGATAGCACGCAAGACCAATGGAAAGCAACAACGCCCAATGAGATACGTATAGAATACGTTGGAATAAAGTTAACGCGTTTGTAACGAGTCGGCAAATGGATAATCGATAATCATTAATCAATTTCGACTAGTTCTGGCGTTAGCATATCGCGTTCATCATAGCTCCGCTTGCCTGTCAGGCCTTAAAGTGGGACACTCGATGTAAAAGTCGAAAGGGACGCTCGCGTCGGGAAGAGTCGGGGGCGATTTCGCGAAAAGTAAAGGTCTGGCGATCCGGCGATCCCACGGTCCAACGTAAAAAGCAAAAGGAGCGAACGCGATTGGGTGAACCGCAAGCCGGCAACAAACGTACATTACTGGTAAATTATGCTAGAGTTACTGGCCGTCACGAAAAGAGTAGGTACCATAAGACGTCGCTACCAATGGTGCAGCACTAGAGCAACAATGCGTGCGAATCGCATACATACATACGGAATCTGTACACACACACACACACACACACACACACACACACACACACACACACACACACACGACGACGACGACGAC